CCTTGTATCTGAGGCAGGAAACACAGCCGTATGGTACTTTTGGGGTGGTAATTATGCTAATCTCCTCTCGCGTGCACGAGCAGCTGGAAACGAACAGGTGGAATTTACGCAGCTCATTTACACACTTTTCCTGAAGATAGAAGAGTTTGTTGAATCTGACGTGGCATGTTCGTACAAACCCTTCGTACGAACAAAAGTAAGAGAAATTTAGGATAAAAATACAAACATGTTCTTGCATGAGGCCCAATGTGTCCAGGGTGTCCCCGCCTCGCGACGTGACTGCTGAAGACTGACACCAGAGGCCTGGAATTAWAAGTGGCTAAAAGAACGGATGAAACAAGAATTCCTTGAACAAATAAAAAACAAATATCACCCACTGTACTGCATGGAAAAGTTTTAAACAAACAACTTGCCTGATCTGTGAGCACAGGAAAGACTTTCAACTATAACACCAAATCTTGGCTCAAAATCTGTAGAATTGACAAAGTTAGAGCTGTTTTTGTGTTTGCTGATGTTGATTAGCTGCGCTAATTTCAGACGTTATCCCAGGAAATTGAAAGAAAAACTGTAATGTGAGCACTGGATTCACAACTTTGCTTGTATTACAAAGATAAAACAAGCTGAACAGAGGCTAAAATGAGCCCAGTTAAAAGAAGCAGAAGCTACTTTTAGCAAAAATGGTAAAGCTAGTATTACAGTTGTTAATCCCATTGAGAWCACAGATATCTTTTTCAAGGGAGGCCTGGGCCTGAAGGCAACCTATTGTACAGGATTTTGAGGTGTTGGGGAAACTGCAGTATCTGGAGAAAACCCACACMAACACRARGAGAASACACAAAAACACCCCAGGTCCAAACCAGGGATWGAACCCAGGACCTTCTTACTGTGAAGCRTCAGTGCTAACCACTGAGCTATCATACTGATATGTTGGTGAAACAAATGCTACTTATAAAGTCAGCAAAACACATACTAAAGCTAAAACTAGAAAAAAAAAACAGCTAAAACTAGCTGAAATCTATAAAGAGCAGAATGATAGATAAAAGCAAAGCTTCTAAAACATTTAAAATATTACCTCGTGGGCCAAAATATATTGTAACAAGGGCTGAATCTGGCCCCCCGACCATCATTTTGATACATGTGTTTTATAGTGAAGCCTCTTAAAAWTTTTTTCTGAAGTATCCTTAGAGAAGATGAGGTTCACTGAGAGGCGTTTGATGGCACTAATGGATCCCACCCTTTACTGCACAGAGAAGTGTTTTACACCAACTACGGCCCAGTTATTTAAATACTGTTAACACACAAGCTCAACTTGTTCTGAGCTGTAAATTGCTTGAAATACATCAGTTGAACAAAAAAGAAAGAAAGAAAAACCCTGAAAACCTCTTACGACCATTTAAACTTGACACCCTTTCCGGTATC